GAAAATGTATTATATATATGTATATCTGTATATATAATTTTTTTTTAATCTTCTAAACTGGCTTTTTTGGAATATGTTACCTACTTTATTCCTTTGGAGTCTTYTAGTAAATATGCTTCCAAATGTCAATAACTACACTCGTACCCCTGTGCATCTCTACTCGTATATATATATATCCCATACTCGCTATAACTGCAAAACACCTGCCAAGGATTTATTAGAATTTAACTAAATCAAATAGACAAAACGATTTGTTTTATTAGTCCTGACAGGTTCCATAAAAAATTCATTTAGTTTTTYTCAAACTTTAAAATCAAAATCGTAAATTCTTAAAGGCCCGCAACTTTTCATGACAATCCAAAGAATTTAAGCATAGAAGTGGTGTTCGTGGCAAGAGCAAGAAGCCGAGTACGTTTGTTTGCAAAAAAGCTCGAATAAAAAGCTGCTATCTGCAAAAATTACAGCAATACAAAAAAGCCCACTATGGCGAAGTATTCTTGCCACGACACCCCCTTTCTATGTGAGTATTGTCAGGCACGCGGTTTAAGCCCAATGAGAGTAGAAAACCCAAGACTACAACTGTTGCGTGTCAAAGAACGTAGGGTCTTTCGTATAAAATCCGAACCTCGCCCTTGTGAGAGTGAAGCAAATAACAACAGCAAACACAATTTTGATCAAAAGGCAACTCAAACGCACGAAAAGCTTAAAAGACCGAAAATCACAGCAAAAGTCTCGCATCTTCCGAATGGGAACTATGAAAAGGAGATAAAGAAGCAAGAAACAGAACAAGAACCATCTACCTCAAAAGCGTATTCATTTAGAGAACGTACGGAACGAAAACAGCGCTATTTGCCTGAAGAGGCGACTATAAGTAAAGGAAATGAAAGAAATTCGCCCAATTTAGGGGGGCCTCTAAAGCGAACAGTTTCGAAAATACCTAAAGAGGACGACACAGACGATACAAGTATTACAGGAAAAATCCAAACGAGAGAGTCAAGTAAAAAGCGAAAAGTAGCACACATTCCTGAACAATACCCYGACGAAACACATTTAGATACAAGATCAGAGAGAGTTTACGTCGTTAATCAGTATGAAACAATGACGACAGAAGAAACCACAAGCTCCTCCGCATACTCTCAAGAGCAAATGATATCCATAATAAATGGAAAGAGTGAAGACAGTGAGTTAGAACGCTGGTATAGATATAGAAACCCTGAATCGAAATTAAAAGAAAGGGGCACTAAACYTTCACGGATACCAGTGAGAAAACGTAGGCAAACAAGAAGGACATCGGCAACAACAACTTCAAGCAGTGATCACGAAAAAGATACGATTAAACATTTTAAAGAAAGTGCTTCAGAATACAAACTGTTAAGAGTTTCACAGAAAACTCTATCAACAAGCACAAGTTCAAGTAGTATASAACAAAAGCATTCAGAACACGGAGTTCAAGAAGTTGAAAATCCGAAARATTCTGTAAAAGTATCACAGACAGACATTAAAGAATACATTTCAAAAACGAAAACTCCACCACCGATAAAACCGAAACCAAAATCGAATAAAATCAAAATTGAAGGAAACAAAGAGGACCATGAGAAATGCACTAATTATCCCCCGGGACTAGAACTTCTAGAAAACATCATTCCTAAAAACTCGGATTTCGAACGAAAGCGTAATAGTAAAAAATCTATACGACAGTCAACATTAGAACAATCTTTAAGTACAAAATCAATAATAATTATATCAAATCAAGGGAGTGACATTCGTTCGCCAAAACCAGAGCTCAGTATAGGAAGCATGCATTCCACTTCATATATATTACAGAGAAAATGTGAACTGTTYGAATCAAGTATTAGAATTAGTGCAYCGAATTMTTCACAAGAAAATGCTACAACACAATTATTCAAAGTGCAAGGGCCGGCAAAAGACATCCAAATAACCACCAAATATTCTGATTGTTCTTGCGAAATTTCTTCTCAAAAGACAGAATCTCAGCAGAAATATGGCACAACCGAAACTTTTGATAATATTCAGGAATTCGACAATGATGAAACTTTAAAGGAATGCTCTTTTGTTTCCCTAATAAAAACCGATTCATTTGAAACAATTCAGCAAGATTGCATTATTGATATGGATCAAGAACGCTCGCCAGAAGTCGTTGAAACCGTGATAGACCGTGCTAACAGTCATGGVACAAGTACTGAGAGTAATTTATCTGAAGATTTGAAATATTATGAAAAATTCAGTAACTATCGCTTAATACCAAAACTTCGTCGTATGTCWAGTGTAGAAAACTCAGATGACCATCCCTTACCCATAAAAAGACACGWTGAACTAAAGAAACAACTGTTAAATGAAAATAGTCAACAGCAGTTAAGTAAGGTATTGCAAAGCGACAGTGATGAACCACAAGATTCTTTATCAGAGAATTTCGAGCAAGCCAAAAACAATTATAAGGACAGAAAACTATTAGAGCAGAAATTGCAAAGTTTTCGCCTATATGAATATATACCCGATCCAGATGAAAAAAATGGCCCATGTAAAGAAAATGAAAGTGGAAGATCTTATAAAACGAGACATTCTGCATCTGAAAGTTTTAAGTCAACCGAAGATCAACAAAGGTGCCGAGAAAGCACTCACTATGAAGCAATAARGAGTGCACGAGATGTGGCGGTAGTCGCAGAGTTGAATGAATATAGAAAAGGCAGCGATTTAGACAACCGACTTTTGAAGCCATTTAAGTATCCAACAAGCATATATGAAAGGCTATCAAAATATCAACCAATGAACGAACCGTGGACCACGCGGACAAAGTCGCTACGATCTAAGGAAACACAAACTTTACCGGAAGTGGAATACGCTCGCTGGGAGAATTCGAAAAAAACAACACGTAACAGGGCCACACAAAAACAAAAGTCAACAAATAGTGTATCGGAAGAAAGAGAGCGATCGCTAGAGAACATATCTGTTAAACAAAGGAGTTTTGGAGAAAAGCAAGATCTATTCAATGATCTAAGTGGAACGAACAAAGCGATTGTAGAAGCGACAACAGAGAACTTGTTCACAAACCACAAACAATCRTTCGATCTGTTAAGCCCCAAATCATCACAAGATCACACAGAATCTAGAAAAGCCCTAGCTTTAAAACAGGAAGAAGCGGGCATTAGTTTGCGTTCGGGAAACCGGAGAAAACGTGTAACTTCGGAAAGCATAAATTTGGGAAATAACATTACAAAGAAGGAGAGACAAAATCAATATTGCAGGGATTCACCAAATAAGCTAACCAAAAGCAAAGTAAAACATAAAACTCACAAAGAAAATAAAATGCTTAACAATAAAAAGCAAACCGAATGTGACTGTGCCCTAGAAAAGGTAGTTGAGGAGAAACTGAATAATAAAACGCTTGCAGAAAAGATTAAAGAAAGAATTGAAGAAGACGCCTTGCAAAGAAAAATCAAGAAAAGAGAAGACGTGGGTTTAATGAAAAACAGATCGTCTGCGGAAAATGTCATTCGAAGGAAACAGGAAAAGAAGTTAAAAAATAAAACGGAGAACAGTTGCGATGAATGATGAAAAGGTTTGGGTGCAATGAAATACACGGACAATTAAAAACTGGTTTAAGCGAAGAAAGCATGGAGAGGGAACAGCAATAAATGATTCTAAGGAGAGTGATGAACGTTGAAAAAGCAATCTGGTGAAATTGTACGCAAAAACCGTTATCAAAACCAATAAAATGACAACAAAAACAGCTGGCTACGAATATCCATATTCCTATAAGGAAACTACTGATGTATTTAGTCGCTTGAAACTCAGGTACACAACACGCATATATACAGACATTTGTTTGACTGTTCCCTCAAAATGCTTTTGTAGACATTTCGAACTAATTTTCTATTTAGAAAAAATTGTCTTTCCAAACAACTTTTCTCTGTGACATGACGCCATAAAGTACGCCAAAWAACTACAACAAACGCGCTTAGCTGCTGCAAAGACACTACGCCGCGGTTTCAAATATTTTCGCTTTTGCCCCAAATTTGGAAAAAAAATTCGCAGTACCAAAAAAAAAAACAAAAAAGAAAGAAAGAAAGAAGAATTCTAAACCACAATATGCATACAAATTCGGTGACCTACATTGAATATGAAACGACAATAACCGAATCTTGTTCTTGTACTTGCACTCACATTGTGGATATGTGCGATGCGGAGCTAGCAGCGGCGAAGGGAGAAAAAGTCAGAAGGGCAAAAGGTGGCGCGGAGTTGCTTGAAAGGCATTCGCGCACTAAAAAATTTTCAAAGTTTTTCCATGCAACTGGTTTGCGGAAAATTAAAAGTTTATTTACGCGGTGAGTAGTGGGTGCGGAACGCGGGGGAAACTGGAAGGTGTGAACCAACCGTGTGCATGTGTGAAATTGGGGGGAAACCCCTCAAACGAATGGCAATTTAATTGTCAACGCTTTGCTTCCGGTCACCGATTTACTAKCTTGCGGGCAACTCTGCTGTTGCCTCTGGTATTTGAAGCAAACACTGCGCTATATTTTGATAGCAAGTCATCTAATGAAAGATAGTTTCATTTGCTAACGAAATTTGTTTAGATCATTGCACAAATTTTATCCAAACTAAACTCTCTGTTTGACTTAGCGCTCAGATGGATATATTTAAAGGCTCTGCTTAGTAGTAGTAGTTCTGCTTATCCTATCTACCTGACCAATGTCATTGAAATATTTTCGTAGAATAAAAACAAGCCAATTGCCTTCGTTTTTTGCTGCTTTAAAACAAATTGAAAAGTTACAAAGCTTTAATTTTTAATTTTTACTAAGCAGAGGYAAAAACGGCAAATTTTAGCAAATATTTATTCAAAATTGTTGAATTTTTAAGAAAGGCAATAAATAGCAATAAAAAACGAAAATATGACTTTAAAACATACCAAAAGTGCTAAATAAAGCTTAATCTGTCAAAACTTAAATTCCTAAAAAATTCAAACTAAAACACAAATTTGCATAAAATAGTTTTTGCTGCTAGATTTTATAAATATTTCTACAAAAAGTTATAAAACTGTTTCTTTTAATTTCTTTACCTGCAAATCGTGGCACGCCACCCACTGRCGCTTATAAATAGTTAACGAATATTTTTGTTTACAACTGTACTTTTTGTTGTTGTAAAATGCATGCTGTTGTGCAAACTTTTTATACACATGTGTATTTCTTTCTATTATTATCCTCAACATACACACACATATCTATCTACCTGTTACGCTGCTGCGTATTTCATTTGAATTGATAAAAGCAAAAAAGTGTCTGAAAAAATCGAAAATTAACTGCCGACCACGCTTATCTACTGAATATTATTTGTTGTTGTCTTTTTACTAGTTTTTTTTTCGTTGTTGCTGTGGTGTGTGCAAAACAGCGCACTATGATAACTTTTTAGGTCAAATTTTACCTTCGCATGTACCTGTGTATGAACATACACACGYACACACATAACCGTAAAATTGTTTACAGTTAAATGTGAGTGAGTATCTAACAGCGCTGATGCGTTGCAAAATGTATGAAAAACGAAAAAGAGTTGAAAACAGAAATTTAATTCACCAGCAAGGGTATTCAGAGCAATAACAAAATTTATATACATATGTACATAGATATGCAAAACAATAACAATTTGTTGCTAACTTAGATAAAAGGCTTTTGTATTTAAATTATTTCCTGTTACGCAGCACATATTGCACGAATGMACGATTTCATTCATAATTGCGACTTTCGATTAAATAGTTTTCCAAAGGTTTACCTTTTATGGATTTGGGAACATAAATCCACTTAATGTATATATAATACTCAATTTTTGTGATATCGATCTGAAATTTTGTAAACTCCCTCAAGAAGCTGATCATTTGACGGATGCTATACAAATTTATCGATCCAAATACAGATCTTGTGTAAAAACTGTTTTATTTCACGTATTATCTTCACGAACTTCGGCATATGTCATTGTCTTAAGCAACCTTTCAATCTCCGAACATACTATAGCATCTATCTGGCATACAAACTGATCGATAAAAATCAAATRCTTTTATGGAAAACTTTTACATTTTCTAAGATATCCGCACGAAATTTTTCACAGATTTTCATCTCAGGCAGCAGTACARYATCTGAAGAAATTGTTCAGATCGGATMTCTATAGCATGTAGTAGTCATACAAATTCAAACATTAAAATCAAACCTGCAAGTTTTTTCCTGCAACAGTCTTAGCAACATTTTCYATATACATAAATATCTACTATATAGACGTACATCTCTTGATATATTGTATGTGGTTCAAAAACTGAGAACTCGTAACGGCATTAATTCAAAACTATTTACAAACACAAACAAATACTCATATATRTACATACATATGTATGTGTGTATAATGAGCCAGTATTCCATAACTTCGGCATTTGCATCAAAGGATTTCGATTTTCGCTATTTTCTCTGCGCAAACATCCAAACACAAGTAACAAAATTAAACTAAAACCGAGTTGAAGAAAATTTCCACTACCCTCATTTCCCTGCGCGTCCGACATGCTGGCATGGTGTGGCAAGTCAGCAAGAATTTCTGCATTTTCCTCATTCACTTCGAGTTGAGAGTTGAAAGAATTGTTATGATACTTGTTTTGCTTCATTCTTTGTTCCCCCCGCCCCTTTCCCTCTTGTATCTGTGTTGTTGTTGTTTTATTACATTTCGATTGTAACTTCGCTAGTTGGGCATACTGGCAGCGCAAYTCATTTGGCTGGCACTTTCTTTTGGTTTTTCTCATGCCTCTGCATCTGTGTGTGGCAGCTGAAGCGGCAAGCGCGCAAACGAAACGACCGATTGGCAGATCATTCACATCACCAGCACCAACATACACACACATACGCTGGTAGTTTCATAGATTTTCTTGTGTGTGCATTTTCCATGTTTAGGCATCACTGCTGTGCTCCCATGTCGATCAACTGCTATGTTTGTGCACACTAATGTACATCTTTGCACGTGTATGTTTGTGGCTCAGCAGTCACCAGTCAGCAGTCGCTTGGGCATCGCTACTCGCGCAGCCATTAGACCATTTCCTTTCGAATGCGCGCCTCCCTTGCTGGAAGAGTAGACGGCTGCATGTGGGCATGCACACAAAGGCATGCCAGCGCAAACATGTACATACATATGTATGTGTTTGTGCAGCGTCTTTATGCCTTCTCTGGCAGTTTCTTTAAGATGCATGTAGCATGTGCTTGTGTGTGTATGTGCTGCTTGCATTCTTTTTTAGGGCTTCCAAATATATTTTCGTKCATTTCGTTATTCATAGCTTCTCGTTCGATTGAGGAGGCTGCATACAGGCACATGCATTCCTACACACATACGTACACACAGGAGATAAGTGTGCATTTAGAAGTGTATCTATGCAGTTGCGGTAACGATCATTCATGTATTTTGTATAATTTTGTAATTCTTTCAACATCTTGCCGCTTTTCGGCGTCTCTCCTTTCTCTCTGTGGCATCTGGGTAGCGCTGTGCTGGCAGTTTGTGTTTATTGCTTTTCGCAATTCCATCAAATCCATTGCCTTTCTTGCCTTTAGTGCATATCTATGTGCATACCTTCGTATATACAGATACACATACATATGTATGTATGCATATGTACCCATCAACCATTTGTGTTTTGGACACTTTGGCCAAATAAAATATTTTTCCCAAGACCCAAAATAAATAAGGTGCTTAACAATGAAAATATAGAAGGTAGTGGGTAACCACATACAATCATGCATACACACATACACACATATGTCTATCTAATGTATTAGCTGTGTGTCGCTGTATTGCTGCTTGAAATTGTAGAAAATTTCAACAGTCAGCTATTTCAGTTTTTTTCTCAACTTCTCTTTTTATTATTTTGTTTCTTTTTTTTTTTTTTTTGGAAGTTTGCCGTTATCTAGGTCTTTGTAAAGACAATGCTCGTGTTGTTTTTGTTTTTGAAATTTCCTATTATTACTCGCTTGTTGGCGCATCTGCTGCTCACTGCCCACACTCATTTTCGTCTTGCTCGCTATTCACTTCCAGCCAGAAATACTTAGGTACAGTTGTTTGCATGTGTTTGTATGTATTTCTCTAGCTAGTCGAAACATCTCGTTGTTTGTAGAGCTGGAAGCGCAGCATTGGCATTGCGGTCGTTGTACTGTTATAGTACAATTGTTGCCACTTATTTTTTTGTTTTTTCTTGTTTTGAAGCGCTTACATTTTCATGGTCCAAACGGCTTAAATATTTATACTTTTTTACCAATTAATCTCAACACAAATTCTTTGTCTCAGCTATGAGGGTTTTGTATGTACCATATAGTTTTATAAAATCTCTATCTAAAGACCTTGATAAATATTTGTACTAACACAGTTTAATTTACACAGCTGATTTTGGAGTGAACAATAAATTAGTAATTTAAAATTTTTTTTGTTACCACTTTATTTACTATTTCTTCACATAAAAATATTTGGTGCTCATTTTATCACAAACTCACTTTGTACTAACTAGTTTGAAACTGGTCCGTAAAAAACCAGTTGTGATTATTTTCTTAATATTGGCATACTGAATACTCATACGTACATATGTATGTAATTTCTGTTAACACATACTAACAGGAAGTTCATGCTGTGCCGCAGTTTAGTCATCAATACCCACWAATATGTGAGYAGCCTGAATTTTCCAGAAAATTATCCATTCAAGCTGAGAGAGTTTGCTTCTTCTTCTACCGTATATTTCTGCTTTCCATTCACTAAACTTCTTGCCGCTGGCATATGCAACAAGCAAAATACAGCTGCGTCTGCATTTTAGCACGTGCGTTCGTAGGCGTAGTGCCGCGATGCGTTGGGCAGGCAGGTGAGCAGCCAACGGCATGAAAATGCATTGTTGCATACACACGCATATAAATATATAACTTTGTAAACATACCTATATAGATATATACATATGTACATATATGGTATATACAGTTGGGATATACGCGTGTACCTATCTTCGGGATAAGTAGTCTGTTTGTGGGCTGCTAATTGAGGAAATTATTATTTACGCACACACACAATAAATGGGTTCATTTGCTCACTTGTGAGTGTGTGCGTTAATAAGCAGAAGGCAGCTGCGGCTATTCCTAGAGTTTTTGTTGTATATCAAAGCATGTGGCTAAATAAATTTCGAGCATACTTTAGAACACTGAACGCATAAAATGTTTTTGAAAAAAAATTTTCTTTTTGAGCCGCTGAAAGTATGCTTCGTTTTAGTGGCAAACGATCAGAAACGCGATTTTAACCTATAACTTTATATATAAACCTGGAAGATATCTTCAAA